ATCACGTGATCTGTTTTGACGCTGAAAATGAGCGTCAAACGTCAGCATGAAAAGGTACCTTTAGGCCCGGTTGCACCAACATTGGGTGCATCCAGAAGCACGACCGCTCATTGAGCGCTCAGTGAGCTCTTGTACCTGTTTGGTTTATATATTTAGATCTAATAGAATATGCCAATCAGATAAAAAAGCTCATTAAGCGCTTAGTGAGCGGTCGTGCTTCTGGATGCACCTATTATAAAGCTGGTTCTACATTAGTTGCAAGTCGATCGCAAGTTCGTTGCGACAGCCAATCTCAAGCTTGCATTTTGAAATCAACGCTTTAGATTGACTGTCGCAACAAACTTGCGATCGGTTTGCAACTAATGTAGAACCGGTATAAGGATGCGTTCCATTTCTTGCATGAAATACACAAGAATATTTGACTGGTCAATTCTTAACTACACCACTTACAACTACGTTTACGCAATTGTAGATCGGGCTTTACATACTATAGTTTACGTTACGCATAAAATTTCAGAGAAAAACTGGCGCTTTTATCAATAAAAACGTGATCTGAATATGGACCTTTTAAGTCTTAACATGAAAAGTACTGATAAAAAAAAGAAGCTTTATTATAGTGTTTTATGTATATATATATATATATATATATATATATATAATCGATTTGATCAAATTAATAATGTCATTAAATAGATAATTTTCAACCCTGTAAACTTTTGTACTATATGAAGCATTTTTCTCAGAAATACTTATTTTTCAAGATATTTAAGAGGTCTGGAACTTTTTAAAAACACCCTCTATGTATTAATAAGTTTTTAATACATATAAATTCTAACTAGCTTTTTTTAAATAAAATCAAATATTGAATTAAAATATTGCAGATGACAAACGACGAATGAGATCCAAGAGTGATATAAGTAAATCTTGTCTTAATTAAGCAGAAATAATAGCAGTTTTGTCATATGTACGCTTCAATAATAAATTTGTATAAACGATTTGCGCATGCATATTTGACAAATTTACTTGAACATGTGTAACAATTAAATGGAATAGATTCATAAATACTGGAACAAGTCTGTGCTTTTCAATTGTACTTACATTATACACATATTTATTTCTGCACTTAAAACATCCACAGCGAAGATTCGATTCCATTTTTATCTTATATATTATATATACTCTTTACTAGAAAATATAAATTTTGAGTATATTAGAGATTGAAGAAAATTCAGTAAACATGATATTAAAAAAAAGGTACACATTCATTGCATTTAGAATACAATAAATCACGAATCGTTGATAATATTTATAATAAATTTATATAGAAAATGGTTAACGTAATACTACAAATACAATGAAGCATTATTTAATTGGTTAATTAGTAAAATGCTTCAAAACATTTGTAATGATATTTGACCGCATTAAGAAATCACAATAAAAGTCAATCTTCTGAAAAGATGTAAAGAGTCAGCTTTTCTTTTCAAAGAAGTTCATTTATTTTACACTTTTATTTTTGCCTTATTCCAGGTCATTCTGTCCTCATAAAATCGGATAACAATCTGAGGACACTTGGCATTGGCTTCACTTGCAGACACCATGTCAACTGCATCTGTTCCTTTCCTGTGCAAACAATTGTTCTTATTCATCATCGACTTTAATCGTTTTTAAATTAAAACAAAAAATAAAAACAAGATTATTTACAGATTTCCATCATATTAAGATAGATGCCTTGAGTATCAAATTTTAATTATAATATTATTTCAGTAATGTTGATGTGTTTTAAAGTTCGAAAAATTTTCAGTAAGCAGTTCAATGACTACAAATATGATATATTTGCAAGTACATATATAGTATACACATAATTCACATTGAATTATTTAAAGCATTAAAATCCAGTTTTGATTGTAATGACCAGTATTTCCTATTTCCTGTTTTTTAAATTATTCACATTACCTCCCAGAAATGATAATGGAATTGATGTCGATTCAACATCAATTTGATGATTTCGACGTCGATTTGTTGTCAATTTGATAATTTCAACGTTAAATCAACATCATTTCCATTATCATTTCTAGCTGGGCTTGAATTCTTTTTCTGTATTTCTGAATGTATTAAGTTTTAAGGATATTACATATTAACATAAATAAATGAAGAGGATTATATTCCATCAAAGTGAGTCTTGGTATACTGCATGCAGATTATTTATCAATCTTGACATACAATCCTACATTGGCTGGACTATATAATATGTCAATTAAATCAATAAGTAATTTAATATTACCTACCATTGTATCAAATACATTAATTTTCCATTATCATCTGCCGAACCAAGAATCTTATCTGCTTCCAATCCTCTTTTAAATCCTTGTTCTCGGTTAGAATCCCTGTTATCTTCCATCGTCTTCTTTTTGTTATTCATCTTATAAGCATACCCAGTTTTTTTGAAACTCTATATTTTGTTAAAATTTATCTTAATCTTATCTAGCACACATGGCACATGTATAATATTGCTGAGAATAAAAAAGAAAAGAAAATTAATTTAATTATTATTTACTATAAATAAATGTTTAGTTAATACTATTTAACTAAATATTTATTAAAATTTAGTACATTTTTAACAAGGAAACACAGAAATATCCTGCTCTGGTTTTGACGAGTTTTTAGTTCATTTATATCTTGTAAATGAAAATAAAAGACCTGTATTGTTTTATACATATCTAATCATACTTTTGCTGGCTGAAACACTCCTTATAAGAAGATGCAAAATAATAATAAAAAAAACACTTACTTAATGAATTTCTACTTCTAATCCAGTCACGCTGGGATTTTCGATTTCCAAACCGTCAATTTTAATACAGTTTATGCAAACCATATACATTTATATACATGTGTTATATTCTGTCACATATCACATTGACAAATAGATTTCATACATATTTTGATCGATTTATTTTTATTTATTGACTTATAACAAATACTTGTAACGAAAAATTATCGCTGTCGCGTATATAGCATAAATTTGACACAAAAGACATTCATAATATCAGAAACAAATATATGTTCAATAAAAACGGCAGGAACAAACATCGTGCTAAACAGTAAACAATACTTCAGGTTATGATCTCAATTATTTACTTCAATTTTTTGACCGGTATCTACTTTTTTAAGGTACTTTTTCATGCGCAGCACGCTGCAGCTGTAATTCGTTACTATTGGTTAAGAATTTTATGTGAGATGACGCACTTCCGGCGCAAAATACAGCAAGCGGCATAATCGAGGAAATAGTCCAGTCAAATTAATGAAAAAAAGGGGTTTATCTCGCAAAAAATGAGAGATTTATGGGACCTTTTTAGGATGGTTCGGGACATTGTGGAGAGCTTATTTCTCGGTTTTCGGATTTTTCGGGCTGGAGCATTTTGAGAGAGGGGAGGGGGAACGTATTTTAGCGCATTTTGGCCATAACTCGGCCAATTTTGATCGGAATGGATCGTGCAACCTCTCTTTGTGTAGGTATTTTCAAGCCCTACACAAAGAGAGGTTGCACGATCCATTCCGATCAAAATTGGCCGAGTTATGGCCAAAATGCGCTAAAATACGTTCCCCCTCCCCTCTCTCAAAATGCTCCAGCCCGAAGAATCCGAAAACCGAGAAATAAGCTCTCCACAATGTCCCGAACCATCCTAAAAAGGTCCCATAAATCTCTCATTTTTTGCGAGATAAAATATTAATTTGACTGGACTAAAACGTATGTAACATGTCCGTCGTTTCATTATGAAAATATTATTTATTGCAATAAATATTAGGAAAATAAACGAATAATGGCTTCGGATAAGGTACGGATACATATTTGTAAATTACATTGTTTTATACTTTACCACAAATTTGTAAGTTACCTAATTGCGATATATATCATTCACATTCTCGATGCCGACAGATTATTAATCGATTAAATATTTTCAATAAGTAAAAACAGATACCATAATAAATCGAATATGAAAGCAAATCATAACCTTGATCTTTAATTTCTACAAACCAATTCAGATTTTAAGATGCGCGCCTCAAAATAATACCACGCTCTGATTGGTTCACTATTTCATGCTGTCGCCATTATGCGCAATGCTTCACCTTTTGTTATTTTTCACCATGCGTGCGTCCATCGGTGTCCATTATCCAGTCCAGGTATAATTCAGGGGGGAATCATATTGATTTTTTGCGATGATAGCTGCTGCTACGGGCGGTGGTGCGCGGGCCGTGGCAGTTACGTGAGAAGTGATGTTCTCCTCCTGGCCCGCTGGCGGCCGCCGTTCACACACCGTCGACACTGTGTGACGAGGGTGGCCTCCCCCTCGACGACGAGGAAGAGACACGTGTGTCGGTGTCCTGGGTCTTGGCGTGCCGTAACGTGGGCGTAACGTGGCGTGGCACGGCCGAGACGATGCCGTCGGCGCTTCGGCACCGCGGCCGCGACATTTCCATGGAAACGTAGACGCGGCTGGTGCGTGCGGCCCGCGGGAGCGACCACCTCCGCCGTGTCCGTCTCCCGTTCCCCGTCGTCGCGCCGCACGATGTCGTCCGCGCGTGATTAGGTTAACCTGACGCGATACGCTCGCGCTCGCTCGACGTTCGACGACCCAGGGATTTCACCGTCGTCGCCCTGTGCCTCGGTGAGATTTCCTCTTCCTCTCCCTACCGATCTCTTGTATTGTCGACACGATTGTCGCGATTGCACTCTCTCGTTTTTTATACTTCCCAGTATCCGAAAAATCGAAATTTTAATTCAGCCATGCAAATCCATTTTCTGTTTATTTCAATTCCCAAGGAAATTGAAGTAGAAATGGATTTTTATGATCATTGCTGAATCTAAAATTCTGATTTTTTTTTTATACAGGGTTGTCATTCTTCTGCTGACAGGGCTGGGCGTGTATTTGCTTCTGACTAGATTAATTTGGATGTTAATTTAACTTGTTTGTTTTTTCTTGTTCTGAGAATTATGCCTGTTCTATCATTGTATATATATATATATATAAAATTTAATTTTAATTTTAGTTCAACTAAGTTCATCTTTTTCTAATTACAAGAATTGTCTATTTCCATCGATGTAGATTATGGTTTTAATTTAATTTACTTTTTATCTTTTTTGAATTTTTTAAATTAAAAAAAAAGTGAAACAAATATTACAGTTAATCTACATTGGCAGAAATGGAATCATAAAGAAGATGAATGTCCGTTTCTCTGTCAAAGTTTCACTTCAATTTGGGTTCAACTTATTCTTCTTTTTCTTATTTTTCATTTGGACAAAATCAACTTACTTTTTGTTTTTATTTTGGTTAGAATTATGTTTGTTTCTATAAATGTAGATTAACTTCAATATCAATTACTTTAATCTTTATCTTTTCTAATTCTGAGAATCAGAGCAAGATAAAGAAGAAATTAAACTGAGATTAAAGATACTCTATATCGATATAGAAATGGATATATGTTTTTCTAATTCTTAGAACTAGGAAAAAGATAAGGAAACAGGTAAGTTGTACTGATATTAAAGTAAAATTATGTTAACTTTAAAATAATTTTAACTGTAATTCAATTTAATTTTTTATCTTTTTCTAGTTCTAACAATAAAAATTATGTTTATTTCTATAAATATACGTTAACTTTAATCTGGATTTAACCTACTTTTTTTCTAATTCTCAGAACTAGAAAAAGATAACAAGTAAATTATAATTTTAAATTTAACCAACATTTAAATTAATTTACATCGATAGAAGTGAATAAATATTTATTTATTGTTTTCTTTCCCCCTTCTTGCTTTCATAGTTTTCTTATTTCTTCCCAATCTCATTCCCACATTTATGTTGAATCACTGATCGTTAAAATCAAATTATTGAAATCACTTGACCTGTATTTGAGATTTTATTTTTTTTTTTCAAATTTAATCAAATGATATTTTATTAGACAGACTTGTTGTATCAATGCTTTTTTTACAATAGACAATACAAAAGTTTTATAATTTCCTTTATTGATTAGTGAAACTTTATCTGTCATACAAACCTATTTTGTTTAAGTAAGCTCATGTATTAACATTGGAAAAATTGCACAAATATTCCTGTTAAGAAATTTCGAGAATGTCGATGATAATAAATCAGAGAGAAGAGGTCGAATTCAAAGTTATTTTTGTGATTGATATACAATAGTGATATACACAATGGGAATTTTTAAGTTATAATGTAGCACATATTTGCATCAGATATTAGAAACTGAGAACAGAGTAAGCAAAAATCTTATGATGTACTTTCAGCGACTGGATTAGGAGGCACAGAAGATCCGAGTTTGGGAGGAGAGCGTGACGTTCCTTTTGCTGCAAGAAGCGAAGAGCCCAAAGTGAATAGTGCTCGCATGTCATTGCCATTAGATTTTGTAGTACAATGAGCAGCTGGACAGAGAGAATGCATCGACGCGCTGCTACGTTGGGAAATGTTGTAACTAGCTGCGGACATCCCTCCTCAGAGCCTCCGCACCCGAGACGCCTGGAAAAGTTAGTATATCACTTTACGAAAATAATATATTCACCCTTCGATCGCTTATTGATCAATATTTTATCTTTAGAAAATGTTATTTTAAAATTAACAGCCTTTTTCATGTATTTATATAGGTACGCACATGTATAGAAACACTGTATAGTTTTGTACTTTTTGACTGTAAGGAAAAAGATAAGTACACAATTCATTGGCTGTAATATAATAGATATTTACATCAACAAATAATTCTGAAAAATAATATGTCACTTTCTTAGCGAGTATAAATTTTTAGAAATTTTCTTGTAATTGTATATCTTTAATAAAAAGTAGAAGGCATGACTCGTCTGATTATAAAAAAATAATTATGTAATATTATATAATATATATTATATATTTATGTAATTTTTAATTCAAATTAAATGTATTTTTTGGGAAAAAGAAAAGAGATAATATTATATAATTTATTAATTGTGATATAATATTTACAGTAACATATGTTACCGCAAATAAAAAAAATACCAATTTTTTATGATTGTGTATATTAATTATAAAATGAGGGACATGGATTCGAATACAAATTTTCCAAAAATCTTAATTTTAGCAATATTTTTAACGATGAATAAAAAGTATAAATCATTTGATTATAAAATGTATTTATATAATCGTGCATTTAAATAAAAATTTATATTAATTGTTCACATAGACAATTAATTTCCTGTAGATCATTAACTTAATTACTTAATATATAGATAAAGCATAGTGAGCCAGTATATCAATAAAGAAATTAATCTGGGTATTTTAAATCTTTTAAATTTTTTCACAGATGTGATAATTGATATTTAACAATATATCGGGCAAATATTGTCAACACTACGTTATGTGTTTGAGGAGATGCATGGTAGCATTTGTAAGTAATCGCAAAGTTTGCGAAAATTACGTGTATCGTATGTCACTAATATGGGTTGATAACTCAGAGATCCATCATGTTAATAGTGCTGACTTGTTAAAAGCTGTTTAGCGAATCCAGAGTAGCGATATTTCGTAGCGCAATTTTGTGTAACAAACAATGAAACGCATTGTCGTGACGCCTCTAATTCAACATATTTTCCCGTGCCTGCCTTAGAGAAACTCGCTTTGGTACACTACATCCAGAGTTCATGCGATTTTCCCGCTATTGTCTCGTTGGAATCAAATCGGATAATATTCCTGTTAGCTAAGAAAATAACGTTTGCAAACTCCTGTTTTCTTTTTACAGGGTCAAGTTTGGTGCACCCCTGAACGAAGTGTGCAAGAATGATATTCCTGGCCCATTACTGGTAAATAACGATTGTGGAACGATTGTTTCATTGTGAAATGCGCATATATTTTAATCCTCCGTTTGCAATTCATCTTGTACTCGATAAAAAGATTTTTCTTGTATATATCTTTTTTAGAAACAAAATAATTTAATTAGTAATAATTTATAATTATATGTAGCAGAGAAAAGAAGTATATATTTTTATTCATAAGTTTTTCGCACAGGTAAAATTTCTCTCTTTCCATAATGAAATGAAAGAGGGCTGAGATCTTCTTGAGATAATTCATAAATATATTTGATAATAGAAATATTGAAAATTAATCCTGATTTTTTCAATATTTTTTGAAAGCTAAGAGTAGTAAAAAAAACTTGAGCAAAAAAGATTCAAATTGCAGACGGAAGATCAAAACACGAAGAATAATTGCAAAGTAATATAATACAATAATAATAGTTTAAACATAAATGAGAGAAAAGAAGAAAGCCATTTTTGATCAAAGTGGATCTTGGTGCTTACTAATATTTAAATGTGAATATACAAATACATACAATTATAATAATAGTGCCCCTTATTTTAGGTTATCCTTATATTAAAATTGTTCTTGTAGGTCCTTATATTGAAATTGAACAAGGAAGCTCCACTCAGAAAAGACATCTTTCGGGCACCTGGCCACCAAGGTAACATGAAGAAACTGGTACACTTCCTGCAAACTGGACATCTGGTTAACATGGACAATTTCAGCGATTACACGATAGCTAGCGTTCTAAAGAAGTTCTTGCGCAAAATACCTGGTGGAATATTCGGTAAAGAGATGGAGCAACAACTGTTTACCATAATCCAACTAGATAGTGTAGAACAACAACGGGACCAGATACACAGGTGACGATTTCTTGCGATACATTTTTACTATATTATTCTCGAGACTAGTTGTTTTGTTGCCTTTACAAAGGAAATTACGCTGCGCAGATTAATTACTTCCATGCCGATATATACGCAACGATTACTGGTACTGCTGTTTGGAACATTCAGAATAGTAGCAGTAAATTGCGAGCGAGCGCACACGGGGATGACCAGCGAGGCCCTAGGGGTGTCCGTGGCACCCTCGTTCTTTCATAGTTGCGTCAGCGACGGCAAGACTGCTAAAATGGAGGATGTTCTCAGATTTAAGGTTTAGCACAAAATCTGATCTTTAATGTTATCATGATGAGATAATTTCTTTTTCCATCAGTTATGGAAAGCATCCGTCTTTTATAAATACAAATTTTTAAGATTGTTAGTCTGCAAATTGGATCGCTCGAGAAAAATTCATTTTATTGTAAAGAATTCTTTCGAGGATTTTAATATTATTTGTGATTAATGGTCGACAACTTATTTCCAGATTGCCACCCGCATCACTAAGTTCATGATAGACAACTTCGGCGTTTCCAATCTGTTCGGAAGGGACAATTATGAATATTACGCGCGTATAACCGGCCGAATATTAAAAGTGGAGGAAGATTGGATCTTCAGTTTCCGATATCCGCCGGATACTCTCGTATCGAGTAAGTATACGCGCGCATTTTTATTTGCGACGATTTAATCGCGCGTGTACGACTTGAGTATATGAATTTTAGGACAGCTGTCGCTGGAGGCTGAAAAATCGTGGTTGCAATACGAGTGCGAAAAATGGGGATTGAAGTTGAATTTAGAATGTAAGTGAGTCTGATCTCATTGAATTGAGCATTAAGATTCTCGGCTATTGCTATAATCATATTGGCTGTAATCATCGCATCGCGACATCAGAAACGAGAATCATGTTCCTTTTCCTTGCGCCATCATTTTTTTATACAACGCATTTCGTATTTGATAAAAAAGATTTCCTTTCCTTTAGGAAGGAAGTAATTAATAATTATTTCTAACTCTCTCTCTCTCTCTCTCTCTCAATAATACTTTAAAACGACGATACAGTTTTGGTAAAAAATATTAGGCACTAATATTTTTCTCATTCATTAGGATAATTCTTTTACTTATATTGTCACCTATTGATTACTAGCATTATATACAAATTTAAAGGGTTCTTGGAACAAAAGATTATTTACAGCAAGTATCAAATAATTTTTTGATAAAATTTTGAATAATAGTTATTAAAGTACCTAATTTTTGGCCAAGGTTGTATATAGCACGAGAAAAGGGAAATGTATTTTTATTCCTTTAACAATCTAACCCAATATTTAATAACAACAAAAAGATTCTAAGTATTGCTCTATACAATATCGTAATAATTTTTTATTTATATCATAGGTATGTCGCATCAAGAGGAATCGCAGTCAACTCCGGCGTTGATTCACGTGCCGGAGACCGTGAATCTCGCGTCATCATTAGGCATGATTCCAGAAAACACTTTACTCGAGAGTTACACACGTCTTTCAGTGAGCTTAGAAGAAAATGGCTTGTTCCAGGTAGAAAACCATCTATCTACAAAAAATCATAGTTTTGTATTGCGTCGCAATTGTAATGCAAAAAAGGTTTGAAACAGCATAGAAAGTAGATTATATTATTACAGCTACCCAGTCGTTCGTCTAGTAATGGCAGTCAACATTCTAAGCATGGGATATTGGGTATGACTCTGGACGAGCTTCGCGCGGTGAATCGCTACGCAGAGAGCACTAAAAGTCTCAGCTACCTACCGCAGGTAAGACGATCGTGACGATGTCTCAATGAAGACAAATAGACAATTAAACTAATAAGTGTCATCGTTGTTGCTACAGGTTCATGAGAGGCAAGCCGCACGAATGCGAACTAGATCTGAATGGTTTCTCACGCCTGTAGTTACCGCCGACAGTGATCCCTCGGCGATACACATTTTGCGTTCCAATCGGTCTTCCTCCGGCAATATTGGTAAACAGTTACATGATTTGAGTAATTTCTTCGATAGAAAGAAGAGAATTGATCGAGTTTGATATTTTTGCTCTTTAATCTTGTATATTAATCAGATTATTTTTATTATATAAGTTTTAATAATATCTTTATGATTTAATTTTTTTACGTTTATATATTTATTTACACAAATTTAAAACTTTACATTTGGCTTGCAACAACTTTTTTCTGATTTCTCAAATTTTTAGATCATCAAACACCTGTGTCTGACTGCTTTTCTTTTACACAATCAACATAATTATTCTATCTTTGTTGAAAGTCCAGAAGGATAGACTGATGCTTATGTCGATTATGTTTCCTAAAAGGAAAGCAGCCTTTATCTTGAGTCTTTGTTCAATGAAATTTCTTTGAATACAGCTACGGGTTTGAGTGCCAGCGCGGAATCGGTGAAGCGGCCGAGTCTTCGAAGAACTTCTTCCAGGGAGAAGCAACGTTGGCATCGCAACTCGTCTCGTCGCAACAAAGAAAACGGCACTAAAGGAGCGGGCCGCTCGGCTACAGCGGCCGCGGCAGCGATGGTGACGGAGGCGTCCAAGTCGCGTTCCCTAGAGACGATCAAGAACGTGAAGATCGTGCGCGTGATGGTGGCGGATCAGCAACAGCCAGCGACCGAGAAGATGATGGACAGCAGCCACAACGATATCTTCGAGGAACACGCGAGCAAAGAGACGCGCGTGCCATCGCGCACCAGCGGCGATGGTGTCATTGGGCCACAGGATTGCACGGAGATGGACGTGAAAACGTTTCACGTCACTCTGACGTACAAGCCGCGGATATAAACGATTCTTTAATTTTTATTTTTTTACTTTATTATAAGTTTAACTCGACACTTTAGGAATGTCGGAACGGTATTATTTTTCTCGCGCGTCAAATTTGTTACGCGTTGGTTGTTACCCCAAATATACGTAGTCACAAACCTGGACGACGATTTTATCCTAATGTTAATGTTAGGAAAAACATCAAATTTATCTCGTTTGCGAATATATACCATCCTTTTTTTTTTTAATTTTAATACCGACGCTCAGGAGTATCGAACTCGAAATATCTTCTTCGCGTAAGATTGCTTATGTAGTAACACACAAACACACGTACAAAGATTTATTTATTTTCGCCATATTGTAGTTCAATTATTCATTTTTTAAAGAATAGTCGTGAAATTTTATCATTTTTCCGTGTAGTAAAACGATTAATTAAGTTGCAATGAAAGAAGGAGTTATATCAACACTCTTGATTTTATTCCGTTGAACGTATCGATTTAACTTCGGTTACTCTCACGTAATATACACTATCGTGGCATTCCAAACGCATTTACTCTTGCCCCGCGATATGCATGTTAATTAACTTTTCTTGCGTACTCGATAATTTCGTTCGATTGATCGATATGTTCGCGCGTTTTTCATACGAATCGTATCCACCATCACTCGTATTTATTCCGAGTTATTAGAAATACGACTTAGACACTTCGGAAACTTATCCCATCGATCACCATCGCGTGACTAACAGCGTAATGTACACAGGATGTTCCACGATGTGTCCAGTTTATGAATTCTTTGCGCAATCTAAAGTCCGTTTTTTCTCTTAATGAAAACATTTGGGATATTCTTTTGGAATTACATGCGAAGTTGAGCCATGCAAGTTTTAAGAACGCGGTTAGACAATAACATTTTATTCTCTTCTTTTAAAATTTAAATTGTTAATTTAAACGGATAGGCTGAACACTATTCCGTTTTTTGTTCATGTTATTACTTTTCTATGTGGGCTGGAAGTCCATCCAGAAGAATTAGAAGAAATTCAAACGGATCTTTAATAAAAAAAATTGTTTAAGACTTTGAGATAATTAAAAGTCATGGAGTTGTGAAAAAAGATAAGACTTAGGCTCAGTTTCACAACTTGTGATTAAGAATTAACTGTGAATTGTGAAACTGAGCCTTAATGAAATGTTTTTTTCTTTTCATAAAAAGAATTATATAAAAAGAATTCATAAATGAAATTTATTTAGACACATCACGCGGGATATTGTGTACGAAAAAGGAGGATTCGGTAAATCTTGCAATATTTACGCGAATTCCTTCGTCGCGACGTATCGGTTGCTAGTATATAAACGCACCGTTACGGTTGTTACATGCCAAATTAGTAATACATATAAGCTATATTTGTAAGCATAGAAAATGTTATGGTCGTATTATCGCGTGTACGTTCCGAAAATCGTTGATAAGATCAGGCGGGATGAGTTAACGGAAATAAAACGGTTTTTCATTTTCCTTTGAATTTGAAAAAAAGTACACAGTATATACTATTAATTAGAAGGTAACAAGACATTAATTAATTATATTTCGATTTTTATATTTTGAATTAATTACACTTCTGTAAACATTCGCATTTCGCGTAACATTAAGAAATATTTAGAAGCACTTAAATTGCGTTGCACATATTTTTTTTGTATTTTCGAATTCACGGGAGATCTTTAAAATTTTCGCTTCTGTTGACTCATCCTGTATATAGCAACTATAACGTAAAGTCGCTACTCGATATTATTCTCATCTAGAGCAAACGACTACGAAACGAGAAATATTTACCACCGTAAGTACGTAAGAAAAAAAAAAGAAAAGAGAACAACGGCATACATATAACGACATATGCTAACACAACGAAAGTGTTCCATAAATAAAAACGTAGCGTAATCGCGCGATAAAGGCCGCGCGCGGCGGACTTTCCAAGGGATTGCGGTTGATTAAACCGATTGTGTGATCGGATCCCAAGGAGGATAGTAATCAATATAGTAATCGCGTAATATTGCGGAAAAATATTGCGGGAATTTGAACGGGAGCGACAGAGACGGATTCGTTCAAATATTCTCTATCTCTCGCAACCGAAGCCATTTTCAAGCCGTCTTAAACCCACGTTTGTCAATAATTATTTTAAAAGGAAAATACTGAAATTATGTATTATGGAGACATTTATAAAGCCACGGAGATTTTGCAATGAGCGTACAATTTCTATTTAAAAAAAAAAAGAGAAAGGAGAAGTAAGTGAATTTTTAAGATGGTTCGGAGATGAGCTGTTTAATCACTTCTCCGTGAAGGCCACAACGTAAATTAATATATTTATGATTAGACGTATACAACGTGTAAATATTGAATACCAAAAAATGTAAAGTTATTATATATATTGGACGTAATATATATACATATATATAATATATATGCAAATGTAAACGCGTGAAAGTATGTATGTGTTGATCGTGTTGAATGTCGCCGCATCGAATTGCCGTATCGATTTAAGTGTACTCGATGTCATCATTTCGCGACTGAGGGATGATAAGGAGAAGGAAGAGGAGAACGAAGAGGAGCAAGAGTGCCGAGTAGAGGAAAAAAGACGCAAGCCCAAATGAGAAGACACACAATCAGGAATAGCAGCAGCTTCGTGCGAAAGCTGTCCCAGCCGACCAAAATCACCCTCGGTGGCATGCGTCTTTCCGTCGTCGCTGCGGAGAACTGAAAAATACGCACAATCGTTACTCGCTCATCTAAGAAAACCGCAAAAAGGGACAGGAATAGATCACGTTGTCGTCCACTTGCTCCTCCTCGTTCTCGTCATCATCGTCATCATCATCATCATCATCATCATCATCATCATCATCGTTATCGTCGTCCCGCAATCTCCACGCACTTGGATGCTGCCGCATCGGATCCGTTTCTTGATCTCGCGTGTTCGTCGACGACGTTGTCGTCGTCAACGGCGATAGCGACTGCAGTTGCAGTTGCGACTGTTGCTGCGGTTGCGACTGAGACTGCTGACTTCTGGTTGTCTCAGATCGCTTATTCTCAACAACAACATTGTCGTCTACCGCGGATCGCGATTCGCTGAACCCGTTGCTGTGTGGTTGTCTCGCGAGATACATGCTCGATCATGCGTGCGCAGTCATATTTTTTTACCAACGACAATTTCATCGCGATGCTGTGTAGAGGAGAAGGGGACTCGTTTGCAGGAGAAGAGAAAAATAACAAAGAATTCTGTAAACGTAAAACGCAAAGCGTCTACATAATTCTTTCGTGGTTCATGATATCTTTTAACGATTTCATTTATCCCTCTTCTCTTCTACATTAGTCGTTTTGGGGTCCTTGCCTATTACAATCCCAGCCAAAAAAACGTTGAGCCGTTAAGCTGCTTTGTGATCAAAACATTCGTTCATTTATTTGTCGTATTAGCATAAGTGTCACGAAAGAGAAGGCGAACGAATTTTTTGATTGATTCTATAACGATTTGTAGATTTACTAAGGTCCGCGCAATTTTTGAAGGTCTTAAGAATCGCGTCTCTCTCAGTATTATTTACAACTCTGTGTAAAAAGAAGATTTGCCGTACTTTTTAATTTTTTAACATCAGACTCAGTGCGCAATCTGCTCGAGTATGATAATAAAGGGATCGAATAATCTAATAATGTACTATGCAACGCCGTATTTTATTCGAATATTTACAGGAGCCAAATATTTATAAAACACAATACGAAATATAGAATATTACAATCCGATTTATGGAACTTTTAGCTGCCGGGAGGATTTCTCCCTGAGCATTCGGTCGTTTCTTCCGAATTTCTCCACTGATTTGTTCATTTCGTTTTGATGAGCAATCGTAACAACGCAAATACGATTTGTAATACAAACATGGACGAAATTTACGTTGTAAAATTAGAAATGTAGGATAGCGATGGTGGAAAATACATGTTGGTCCCAACAGCAGTTAATCACGTAGAACTGCGAAACACGTCGCACGGATTACCAGTTCTGTGATCGTGGATTACGATTACAAAATCTCGTAAAAGTTGCAGAATTCATAGTCGAATCACAAATCGCGATCACAAAGTCACAACCCAGTAAATAGTAATATCAATGTTATAATTTCACTTTCAACAATATAACTACTATGTATTATATTGTTGAGTGTGAAATTATATCACTCATTACTATTCATAGTTCTACTGAAGAATCCTTTCTAAATTCTTTAGAGTGGAATCTCACTCTAAAGAATGAAAACTGAATTAGCTTGAAAGAGTAGCTTCAATTTTACTCTTTAAAAGTGGGGTCTACTCAACAAATTTTAGATAGTAATTAAATATTTAGATACTTCAGCAAAAAAATCGTTCTTTCCCTGTGATTTACTTGTGAGCACCTTTGAAAGTCACAGGATTTGTAATCCAACGATTATAATGGAGAACACGAAGTCACGTGGATCCGATCACAAATTGCGATCCCAACATCAACAAGATCGCTACCAAAATCCAATATCACTCAAATCGCGAGACCAGAGGCCGCAGAGTGTTCATCGCTATTTACAATCGCGAGAACTGAGCAAGATTTGTAAAGCGGGGATGATCTTGATCACAAGATCCGGTACTGATCCAGCAGGGTATAGACGATGATCCAGAGGAGAAATGCCACGATCACGGAGATCAGGAAGATGGTTTTGAGTGAGTGCCATGGACTCTCGCTGCGCGACTCACTGCTTCCGATTCGGCTGCTCCTCCAGATCTTGCAACCGCCGTTCTTGCAGGGCGTCGCGTCGCTAGCACTGGTGTGAGCTGTCGACGGCATCGACGTCGCGACGCTGCTGGGCATGGTCACCTTAATCTCACCCAGCTCCGTAGTCTCGCCGGCAGCATGCCGATGTACCTCCGCTGTCTTCGTCGCCAGCTGCGATCTCAACGTCGAATCCATCTGGAACCCAAGAGGTAAACGTTATTATTGTTATCTTTTTTGTTGCACTCTCGTAGATAACACGGTTTAATGTAAAGAAAAAAAAAATTGTTGCTTTACTCTTAAAAACTTCAGAAATGTTGCCAGTCAGAAATTTGTGACTTATCGAATTAATATTGAATCGATATAATTCCGATTAGGAATTTACTGATGATTTGCTTCGAGGACTTTGACATTTAAACTTTGAAGATTTGAAGCTTAGATACCTTCAAACTTCGAAGCTTTGAACGATCAAAAGTATGCACTTATTAATATTTAATACAATAGTAATAATATATAGTAGGCGCACATTTATAAAATTTTATGACGAATTCTGAAATAAAATGTTTTTATGTTGTATTATAATTACGCCGTAAAAATAACAGTAAGATTAATCACTTTCATCAGTTTCGTTGGATTCTGTCTGGAATTTTTATTCTTAAAATTATGGTTTCATGCCAAAATAGATCAAAGCCAAAACATTCATGTTAATTTGCTATTCTTTATTCATTTATTTGAGAATAAATTTATTTTTATATTCTTTAATTTTCTTAATTAGATTATTTTATTGAGCATTATCTTTCTTTATTTACATAAATTAATATAATAAAATTTTTTTAAGAATATTTTTTCAATATATATATTAATTCGTTTCATTTACAATATTTATAGCATTTTCTGAATGAATTCATCATTCGCATATATTTTTCAAAGCTTCGAAAAAATTCAAATCTTCGAAATAAATAACGGCTTTAATTTTGACATCAATTTGATATTTAATTGACAGTCATTTCTCGCTGGGGTTTTATCTGCCACAATTTTCAGAACTTTACAAAAGTGCGACGTAAAGTGTGGTGTAGCATTTTTTGAAATCGAAAATATATTTAATATAAAGGGAAATTATACTATAGTAGAGAATGTTAAATTCAAAACTTAAAATCGAAAAGTTATAACTTCTTTGGATATTTTATTTAAAAAGATTTTTTTTGTTAAATTGGAACGTACACACACACACACACACACACACACACACTTTTGTTGTTTAGTTTTCTTGAAAAATTTCCTGATTGTCAAAGACGTCAGTGTGTTTACTCGTTATATGTTAACTTGTTATATGTAACAAACGATAAAGGCAAAAAATTTCTTATTTGTCATTGTTTCTACAACGAGACGTAAAAAGTGCAAAAGAAAATAATATTATTCGTAGACGATATCGCCATTTAAACAGAAAAAATATAGTAAAAAACATTGCGGTATTTCGACATTTATTGCCGGATAAAATTATCTCTCTCTGTCAGCGGTTTTAAACATCCTGCGAATCACCCGATTAACATGGTGTCATTTCATATTTCCGGATCCAAACTCGGCCAAATCTAACACATTATAGAAATAAAACGAGATGCAGTAAAAATTAGATTCCAGTTAGGCTTAACTAAATTCCTATTAAACTTTAAAACGCCATTAGAGGTTTTACTCATCTCTTAATCTCCGCGTTTTAAAACTAGTCTTTTAAAATAATTCTGTTCGTGGTAAAATAAAATATAAATATATAATATAATATAAAATACATACAGTCATAGTAAATTATTTGCATAACTTTAAAATTGCTATGAATATTTTGTTATTTAAATTTATTTCATGTATATATTTTTCAAATTACATTAAGCTTTAGTTCGCTTTTAGTTTTTCGTCCTTGTTGGAAAATTTGTATTGAATTTAACATATTTTATATAGCAAAAATTTCTAATAATGTTTAGAATTTTAAACAGTCTGCCTAAATTTTTGTGTTAATTTAACACAAAATAAATGTGTTAGAAAGTAATACAAGTGTTATATAAAAGATTAATACAAAAAATGTAACAATTTATAAACAAATTGTAGAAGCATATTTTTTTAATAAAATTAACATTTATATAATATCATAAATTAATACATTTTATTCATTTAGAATTTCTTAGAATTTACATTTTAAAGTAACATAACTTTATGTATTTGTTCACTTATTTACAAATTGTGTTATTTTAACATTAAAGGATATTGATTATAAATTTAACACATGATATTTGAATAACATGATCACATTAAATATGTTAAAAAATCGACATAAAAATTTTAACAAGGATCAGTTTTAACACAAATACAAATTGTTTTTTACTGTGTGTAAAATTGGAACTTTTAATCAGGCATCTTTCATGCCATCGCAACAGTAATAGCCACAAATTGTGTAAAACAAGAATTTTGAAAAGATTATTCTTTTTCTCTTTTGCCATTATTGCAACGGCAATAATCGAAACGTATTCAGTGATGTAGATGCGTCAAGATATGAGAATCGGAAAGTGAAAGGAATAAAACAAGCCGGTGATTACGTGTGCTTCAGGAATCTGGTTATCGAGGGGTAGGGGAGATTTCGCTGGTCTATCATATAACGATCGATCCCATATGGATCCAGACATTGTCATCTGTTACGCTCATGTCACACTACGCATTGATGAGTGAAGTATGCGAATTATAATTAAAGATTCACGCAAAGGACGGTTTTACTGACGTATCTACAAATGTTTAGCTAGATATAGAGTTGAAAATAATTTTGGTATATTATGAAAATAATTATGCGGGATCTTCAAACTGGTTGTCAGAATGTCAAAATTTTTCACAGCATTACTCGTGTTTCCTATTTAATTATTTTGATAGACCAATAAAATTATTTTTAGATCTGTATTCAGTTGAATTTTCACATTTTTAATTTTTAGATACTAAGCCAAAATTGTTCTTTTCGCGTGTAGAACTTCGCCAAAGAACAAAATGGATTAAAAAATTTAAAAATGTTAAATTCCTTACGTTATTTTAACAACAACAACAACAAAAAAATTAGAGCTACACTAGAAATTGGTATTGTGATTAGTGCACTGATATTTAATATTTAATCAATATTTAATTGAAAATTAAATTTGATATATATTGTAACTAATGTTTGGCATTTGGTTATCCGTTATATATAGTAAAAAAATGTTCTTTTATTGTATAATGTATATAAAATTATTTTTTATTAAATATTGTATTAATTATAGCGTATACTGATCACAACACTGATTTTTAGCAACCTTAATGTTTATATCTTTTTATTGTTATCGAAACAGATTAAAATTAAAATCATGTGACTGGTCGAATTCTTATATCTTATTCGCAATCCTCAGTTTTCAACTAGTAGTGTGACACGAGTTTAACGATCATTGACACATATTAATAATAATTAACTTTCGCGAAGACACAGGCAACGTACGTATCTCGGTGAAAGCACACAGTTGATCGCGAAATCGTGATCGAGTGTTCCAAAAGTTGCATAAAATATGTTTTTAATAAAAGGAAAAAATAGATTCGTGGCAACAATAGAACGTATTTCTAAATAATTTTCTGCAATTTTTGAAATGCTCGATTGACTTCGCAAGTCACTCTATATATCTTCGAGATAACTAATGCCTCTTGAGATCGCACTTCGAGATCGGCTCGCGTTTTTATCTCTTTCGTTTTTAGCAATATAGGGAAGGGGCATGTTAACGTTACTCGTTACGCGACTTTCACCGCATTCGAGGATCAAACGACAGTCAACGACCCGATTAGAGGCGATCGACCGTGTCCACTCGCCATCGTCGATATTAATGGGATCCCTTTATGAGGGATTTAATCGCTTTCTCGAATATAGTTGCTACGCCGGCATTGTGAAATTAAACATCGGAATAAATCGGGACGATTGGCGAACGATAACTCCCGATAACGCGATTATTCAGAGACTCATGTATTCCCTTGTGTTAAAATTATTCCGATCATCCGTATATTCGCTCGATTTAGTAAAACATTATTTCTGTAGCTCAATAATTATAATAATGTACGGAAAGACGTACGGTTTGCCGAAGTATCTAAAAATTTAGTTACAGAGATCTGAAAATAATTTTATTAATTGACCGTCAAAATAATTATGTAGAATGGAGATCAATAGATATCGTTTATGATCGCCAATAATGGCTCAAAAATAATTCGAAACGTTTGAAGCTTCTTAATTGAGTGTAATTGATAATAAACTTAAATTGTGTCCTACTTTTTTCCGATGTATCTTGTTATTTAATTTTTTGTAATTTGAGAATAATATTTTGAGACTAATGTTTATTAATTATGTAGGACATTTAAGATTGTTAGAATGTCAAAGTTTCTTACAACATTGCTCGTCATGCTTGAGTGTTCTTAATTATTTTAAAAGTTTCACATTACAGAATACTATGTGTCTTACCCTTGTAACTACTGAATAATATATTCAGATCTGTTTTTTCGTAGAACGCACGAATCTATTGTAATTATATATTTATTATTTATTGAGAATTGTACAGTTTGTAATGTATTTATCTTTGTTTTTTATTGTTTAAATCAGTAGGAGTCCTTTAGTGTCTTTATTATTTGATATCTATATGATACAATTTTATCGTTATTTATAATTTTTTAAGTGTTATTATAATTATTTAAGACTCAGCAGAATTATTTTAAAATTCGTATCTATAAACTAAATTTTTTAGACACTTCAGTAAAACCTTTTTTTGTACGAACACAAACAATTAACAATAATTAATAATTATAATTACGAAAACTTAATAATTTGAGTTTGTTAAAAAAGAAATTTAGAAGAAACACTCAGAGAAATAATTAGAGACAGAGGGGAATATTAATTCTTTTCTGTCAATTTAAATATTTTTTCTCTTTCCTTCTTTTTCATCCTAATTTTACAGATGTTAATCGGATCTCTCAGACTGATAGTATCAATGAGAGGTACTCACGTTGCCAAACATGTATCCATATTTTTTGCACTTGTAGCAATTGTCTTTGCCCATACTTCGCTATCGCATCTCGGAAGCGGCACCTCCGAGTTCTAAAAGAAGAAATACCGTTCTTTCACGAACTCGCGGATATCTCGAGTGTTAATTTACACCCAGAGTCCTTGAAAGCCCCGCTGCTGGTACGATGGCGGTGAACCGCGCACAGTAGCTCACAGTAGCTCGCCCGCGCGAATCGCTGTCGGAACTGACTAGTTTAAACTGTGCGAGAGACATTATCACCGCTTATCAACCGCGACCCCTGACCAGCCGGCCAATAAACCGGCTTTCCCCCTTCCTCGAGGAGATTTACCGTCGAAATCCTCGGAAGTTCCGCCAGTCGTATAAACGTCTTTTTCCTCTCAGGTTTATTGCACGCGTTTCACCGCGAAATTATCGTCATTGTTATTTAATTTAATTATTATAAATTAATTGTAACTAATCATATTATAATTACCCCAAACACTAAATATATTACTGCCATATGATATATGTATATGTAAGATATATGTATATTTGCGTATGTTATGTACATTGAAAAAAATATATTAAATTTTAATAAATTTGTTTCAATAGTAGTTTTAAGTAGATATTTACTAAAGTGTAAAGTGTATATTAGACTAGAATTTATTCTCTTCACACACAACATTTACAAAAGCTAAGAAGGAGATTTGGTATAATCTATAAATAAACAGCAATATAATGTCATGTAGGTGTCATCAAAGCACCAGAGAGATACCAAAAGTCAAATGATACAAAACTCCTATAGGAATATACATATACCTGTGCTCCTTCGTAATTTTAATCGGCTCTTGATTTGTGCCTAGTGGATGCAGTTTATTGCCCTATTTTTGTCTCTTTTTTTCTGTCTTTATCAATACACTACTATCTTATCTATGTTTTAAAAATATTATCATAGTCGCTATATTAAATGTGTATTTATTTAGTACAAGAACCATTACTTTGATTTAGTTATCACTTTCTTATTGAGTAAATATTTCTTTACTGTAAATAAATGTTTACTTGGTGTTATTCAAAGAAATATGTATTAAAATTAATTAGTAATTTTGTTTCAGTATAGCAGTATTTATATGTTTGGTGGATATAGTTAATTAGCTGCATAAAGTAACTATTTAAACTACTTAATCGTATGAAATTATATAGATTATTAAGATGTTAATTAACATATAACCATGAAATGAATTTTATGATTATATGTTAGTTATTATTAGCTGTTATTATTATTATTATTATTGTTATTTTTAACTAACTGGAAAATGAGAGAAGATATTTTTGAGGTAAACAAAATTTTCATAATATCTTACACAATATTTTTAAGAATTATACATATATGTATAAAGATTCACACATATTAATTTATAAAGATATTGTTTAAATACTTCAAACTTCAGATTTTATAAAATTTTTTTTCTAAAATTGAATATTCTAAAAAATTGATTTTTCTAAAATGGAATAAGAAATCTGTGAATGTTCCAAAAGCTATATAGTTACATAAAGAATTTAAAAAAAGCTGTAGTTTCTTAGCATTTCTGAAAAATGTTTCAATTTGTATTAAAAAAATCTGAGAAATTTTCTAAAAATCAGGACGTTATAAAATTACATAGAAATTGTGAAAAATTCTCAAATAATATATAGAAATTCCGAAAAATTACGTGAAGAATTCTAAGAAAACTTTTCACCAGAAATTGCATGCATTTACAATGCGAATTACACTGTATTATATGCGCTACATAATAAACGCTCGACGATAGAACGATGGAGGAAAGTCTGGGACACGATCACCTCCGTGCATCTCCGAGAAAATATTGCGACACACGCGCTCATCAAATGCTACCTTGCGTAATTCTGCCTCTGCCTCTCTCTTGTCCATTATTTACCGCGAGGACAGGTACGGTTATGCAAATCGCGTGGCGTTTCATGGATCGTCGTTCGCCGGATCTTCAGAGAGCTCACGTGACATCTCGGCAACGATAATAACAACCGCATTTTAATCGTATTATTTAGGTATAACGAGAAAAGAAATTGTTCGTCGACTATTACAAATCTGTGCGATTAGGATCGCCCGTTGCCGCGTTTCGTCTCACTCGGCCATTTTGACGAATTTTTATCGATTTTTATCGCGGAGGAATAAACACGTGGACGCGTTCAAATTAATCAAACAGATATCTTTTAATAGGTGAGATAAAATGTACAGCGCGAATTTTTGCCGGCAATAGTTAATTATATGCTCGTGCTGACTAGCTCATGTGCACTACAGGCGTGCGAATCGCGATAAAAGGTCGTGTCGCATCAGCCATAAATGAGACCGTGTTCTAATATACGGTGAGCGTAAAAAGTATCTATTAGGGACGATATCTTTAAAAACAAAACTTAATATATTTTAGAAAATAAACATTAATTAACAATTTATTAATAAAGTATTAAATAGATTGTATATTTCTCAACATTATATTATACTTAAAAAGTGTATACAATAATTATACGAATGTTCCTAATATTTTTCTTTTTATGGACTTCACATTTTATAAATGTACGTATTAAATATTTAATTTAAATTGAAGAGGGCTCGATCCAAGAGCCGAAACTTGTAACGTTATTATATATATTTTAAGTAGTTATATATTTTTATATTTATGGATCAATTATATGTTTTTCAAAATTTTGTTTTAACTAGACGTTACATTAATTTGATTGTTTGACTCTTACATTACCCTTTTTTTAGTGCTGTTTATTTCGAAATATTTATTTCAATACGTAAATTTAAGCGCACTTATTATAGCATCGATTACTTTAGCCTTATTCCCTCGCGTTTGAACTGTTCTCAAGGGATCTCTAATCGGTTATCTCTTATCGATTATTGATTTATTGATTTTATTGTTATTTTTATTGTGATGAATAAATCGCAGGTAGCTATAGACATACGGGAAAAAATGGCTACAGTTGCCACGACCAAAAGTCGCTCATCAATACATTATTGATTATAAAAAATATAGTACGATTGTAATAATCATAAGATATCATATTGTAACCGTTATGGGTTTTAAGTTCATCTTACTGTTATTAAATGTATCGATGGACGAAAATTATCATTATTTCCAGTTGTGGCAACCATAACATTTTTTCTGTGCACTTTTCAAATAAACGCACAAGTCGCTAGTTATCTTGAGGATAGTAACTTGATCAGTAGCGAGAATTGCAGAAAATTATTTAGAAATATATATTTTATTGTTATTATATATATATATATATTACAAATCACTTCTTTTTTGATTGAAAAATGTATTTTGAAATTTTTTACATTGATAAGAACACCAACAGCAACAACAAAGGAAAAAATACGAAAAATATAAAGGTAGTCATGTTTTATCGAAGCTTAGGAAGCATCATACCACATTATGTATGACGTATCCGGAAGTGAAGAAAATTGTGTTAACCTTCGGTAGTTAAAGCGTTCTTGCAAAATATCTACACGTTTTAGTAAATTTGCACGTGATAATATATATGCCTTTGCTATCTTTTAACGATGAAGAAAAAAACTCGTACCTATTGCGCGATAACATTTTTATGAAGGAGCTGATCAATGGTAATCTTTATTTTTTTTGTTACTTTCTAAAGCTGTTTTCATTTGCAAATTTTATGCGTGTTTAAAACACCGTCGTCCATTTACACTCTTATTTTTATGTTAATGTAAATCTTCGATTAAACAATAAAATTAAATTATTCTAAATTAAAATATTAAATTTTACATTAACATAAAAATAAAAGGTTAAATTAAAAAGTAAACAATTTAATTCATTTTCTAATGTGCTATTAAAGAAAATGGTTAGGGATTTGATCTAATAAACACACAGAAGAAATATGGCTGAAGTATCTAAAACTTTAGCTAAATAAATTTAAAAATATAATCATGTTGAATCAATCTTATAATTATTATAGACGCTCAGCTTAATCGCCAGAATGTCAAAGTCTTTTTCACCATCATATATCATCATACTTGTGAGCTTCCAATCTAATTATTTTAGTAAATAATTCAACATGGTTATTTTTATAGAAAACAGGGATAATTTTAGCCAAAACTGTTTTTTTGCATGCAAAAACAATTTTGGCTAGAATTATCCCTGTTTTCTGTATTTGATAGAACATTATATGTATCGTACGCACTGAATTTATAGCATATAAATCTAAATTCTATCTTTATCATTTATATGATTAGATGCAAAACGTATATCCGATATCGCAGCATTTGCTGGAAATTTATCTATTTTTCGTACCTACATATTTTTTTTGCTATACAACTGCAAGATCACTTTTTTGTGTGCAGCAGAACCATTAATTCCTTCTGTATGTGATTATCGTACCCGATAGCACGTATCAGTACAATACGTCGTTCGGTAATACAGTTGCGAACAGAATATCAAAATAATAGGTCTGACGTGTCGATCGACACATTTCTGAAATGATAAAGCCGGAGTTATCGTCATACGTAAAAACAACGACGGAATTAAGTTGTTGCTCACCTGATGCACCTGCTGCGGTTGCCAGGTGTGCTTGAAGAAGCTCTCGAAACATCTCATGCTGATCGTTTTTCCTACACCGCTTGTCTCTCCTTCGCCGATCACAGCATTATCATCACACGTCGCAACTGTTCGCGGCGCAAATTCGATCGTCCTCTTCGGCCGTAATCCGATCGAGATCGATCACGAAGCCTAGGATCGAATTATGACGACGAAGACGTGTGGAACTCCTGAATGAGAAATTCAGACGCATCCTCGTGAATTTGTCTCGCGGAATCCCGTATTCGCGTTTCGAAGAGGATCACTTCGACGTAAAAAGGAAAGAGGAAAAGGAGGCAAAGAAGGAAGATCCTCACGATCCTACTGGATCCTACGATCGAGAACTGCACTGTTCGCCGCGCGATCGCTGACTAACGAAAGGAACTCGCAGAGAGATGGTGGAGCGAATCATTCCTCCACTTCCGCGTTTCGTACCCACTCTGCGGGTACTCGCAAAGATGTAGCCAGATTTGGACTGAAGCGATCCCTTTCTCATCACTACATGGGAAGCACTACGGTGGAAAGATCTAAATTCTATAAGATTCACAAAAAACTATAAAATCTAAATCTAAGGCTGCGATGTTTACAGTTAATTCTTATATTCAAGATCGTTTTAAGTTCTGTTTTGAAGTGTCACGAATCAATTAGACAACTGCATTAGTGTCTTAAGATATTACTTAGGATAATCTTGAAATAAGAACCAACTATGAATACCAGCCTAAGACCTAAAATCTAAGATCTATAATTTTCCATCATATGGAAAGAAAATTTTACAAATCTCATTTGCTAAAATAAAATATTTGTGAGCTATTATCTAATGAAGACACACAGAACACTGAGGAAAACTTTTTTCTTTACGTATATCTAAAATTTTGTTGATATGTAACTAACAAAAACTTTCTTCTTCAATAAAAAATTATGTTGTCCTAATTAGAATTTTATTTTAAACTAATAATAAGATTAGTTATTTTTATAGTTATTTCAACCAAAATTTAGTTAGGACGACACAAAATGTTTAAATAAAAAAGTAAGAACGTTTTTATTAGTCACATATCAATAAAATTGTACATGTAAAATTATGTCTCATAGTAAAAGAATGTTTTGCTGAAAGAAAACTTTTGCGTATATAGATCTAAAAATAATTTTGTTGGATCACCAAAATAATTTTTTCGGAAACTTAAACTGGCTGCCCTCCTAGAATAATCAAACTTTTTTTTGCAGTAATAAAATTATTTTTAGATCTGTATGTAAAATTTTAGATATTCAGCAAAAAGTTTTACGTGTGTCTTTTACTAGATAGTACCTCGAGAATATATACTTTAGTTTAGAAAGAGAAGCAATTGGCTTAACATTTCACGAAGGACATTCTTGCAATTTTCTGATAAGATCTCTATTTTTCCACGATAAAGAAAAATTAAATTTAAAATATCGAACGCTCTGGAATAAGAAAAATTAAATTTTAATTATTCAGTAAAATGTTTATTCTGCTACTAAAAGTTTTTTTCACTGAAACAAGATTATATTTTTCTATTCTGAATCTAAAAGTATAATTTAATTGGCGCGAAGTGACTTTGACTTCTGCTATAGCCAATATTTTTTTTAGAACTGAATTAGTGTTTACGCGCTTTGTATTTTTGTTTTAATGAATAGAATATATTTTGTAATTTACCTAAATTGAGAAAAAAAGTTTTATATATATATATATAATGCAATAATGGAAAATAAACCTATTGTTTCTATCACGATATAAGTTTCTTGAAAATAAATTTTTTCCTTGACGACTTTTCAAGGTGAATACCTAATTTAAGTGAATCATCCTTATAAACGTTAAAAGTGGAGAGAAAGAGATAATCTAATTTCCAGAATGCGATAAAGGTATTTACGACATTTCAGCAATTTTCATTTTCAATGCCATGCAGTATAAAATATTTTTAAAATATTCAAAAAATATGTTTTAGAAGAAAATTAAAATACTTTAAAATAAAAAAAAATACACGAAAATATTTTTAGATTGTTTCTAATGCTAAAGCTTTTTTGTTTCTTACAATATTAATAAAAATATTTTTTGAATTCATTTTTCAATATTTCATGCTGGAATAGATGACATTTGGAGAAAGATAAAAAATTTGGACATAATTTTAAAATTACAAACAGTAATAATGCATGATATTTATCTACATTTTACATTTATTTAAATAGAATGGCTTTATCAGACGCGAGTTAAATAATTCTAAAACTTAAACGTTTATGTGTGTGCTGTTATTTCTCCATTCTCGATGGGAGAATGCCTCTACTTTCGTATCTCGAAGTTGGAGAACGACGGCTGCGAGATTTCCTTCTCGTTGCGGAATTCCGCCTTGTCGATCCGGGACTGAGGACTTCCGGTGTGGCGAAGCCATTCTTTCCTGAAATAAAGAAGAGAGGAAGCGATCGTGATCTGGAATGTTAGATGGCTTTTTCATATCAACGAGGCGTCCGCGTCTTACATCTCGTTGATCTGCGTCTTTGTCCCTTCCATGTGGCCAACTACGGTACCGTTTGGGGTGTTCATGCACCATCCCTTCAGGCCCAGCTCCTTGCCGCGTTTCTGCGTGTACTGTTACCCGCAAGCAAGACAATATGCCTAAGTTTTCCAACAATGAAAGATAGGTATTTTCGAAAACAGATGAAACTGTATCGGTTTTGTGTTAAGAAGTTAAACTAGAAAAACTTAAAGCTATATATTTATGCTAAATTATTTTGTTATTTTATTTCAGATGAAATGTCTGAAATCTTTGTTCTTTTTATAAGGAGAGATTAATAATTTTCTCTCGTAAAAAAGCAATTCGTGGAAGTTCCAGTATTTTACGTTGATTTTATGTTTATTTTAAAGCTAGAAATACATAAAAAAAAAACATAAAATAATAAATGGTAAGCAAATTGGCCAATTATGACAGAGATTTACTTTACGTTTTCTATTGTTACTGGCGAGGATTAATTTTACCAAAAGACCGCATATGTAATGAAGAAAAATACTTGTCATCAAATAAAATATGAAATGATATAATCTGTAGGACAATATTTCAAACAGCGGTTACCCCTTCAGTCATTGGCCGATTCGCTTATTGTTTAAGTTTGCCTTATGTTTTTATGTTTCTATAGCCTAAGTGATTTAAGTCTAAAGTCTATTCTATAATGTGCTCTTTATTTCATATTTCTTGTTTTTTTTTATTTCTTGCTTTCATTCCTCTTTGCAACCATTTTCTTGACAATTATATTTTTTGCCATATGTTTTTGTTCCTTTCGAAGTTTGTTAACTTTTATCTCGGGTGATAGAAAGCGAAAAATAGGATAAAAGACAAAAGGATAAGATGTAAAAAATAGTAAAAAGCAAGAAATAGTAAAAGCAAGAAATGCTGTGCAAATTAGAGAAATCTCAAATGGCTTATTGTTGATTGGAAATTAATATATAAATAAATAAATAATTGTATTTCTGTATATCTGTTTTTGAGCAGCTAATTTTTAATATTCTTAAACTTTTTTTTATACGAAAAAGATATTTTAATTTCATAAAGCTCGAAAATCTCTTATGTGTAAGCGTCAAAATATTTTCTATAAAAATATATAAGCTAAAAATTATAATATTAGATTTTATCCATTAACTCCATTAAGTTACCAACGATAGAAAAGGATAGCAAGATGAGATATAATGGTATTAAAAATATCGATAAGAAGGATGTATGTTCATGTTTACAGTAGATAACGCGAACATTTAGATTGGTTAATATCGGACACCCGATAGATGTCGCGAGCTAGAAATTTCAAGGTTCTCGCTTGAATTGCTTCGTGTCAGTCACATTTCCGGCAGCCTCAAACGATCATCGTTGAATTCAGTCAAATTCTCAGATCAACACGTGCTAATTTACTCACTTTTCTGAAGAAAACACCTTTGACAGACAAATTTATGAATTAATAAAAAGTAATCGATGAAAAATCGATAGTAATTCAGGTCAAATCGCCGAATGATTTTCGTTACCTTGCACGATGCCGAAAACTTCGAAATCCACCGCGAGCATCCTTGACATTTCCGTCTCTTTCCCTGCCGATCGCGGCAATTTTACGGGAAACGACGACGGAAACAACAGACAGGTGAGAAGGACGAATCTAATCATTCGACGTCGAGGACTCGATCGAAACTGTCCGAGCTAGATGTCGCTAGTGTGCGGCGTTTATGCGCGAGAATGTACTCTACGTTCCGAAAATAAGTGGTAAACTTGGCGACAAAGGGTGTTTAATTTGCATTTAGTGACAGAAGTCGGCATAAATATTGTTCTAGCTTTGTTACTCATTAAATGTTAAGAAAGATAGAATGGTGTTTTGTGTCGACTTGTGTCACCAAATGTAGTGTTAGCAACCATTTGTTTTACGAAACAATATAAAAACTAAACGAATAAATACGAAAAGTTGATTTGTATTTGATGAATTAAATAATTTTTCACAGATTTAATTTTTATACAATAATTGCACCATTTTTGGCCTATTGTCTAGTATGTACATATAGTATAGTTTACCAATTTTATTTAATATTTTACATCTTTTTGATTGGCAAATTGTTATTTTTTGTAAGGTGTATGGTTTTCTTAAAGCTTTCTTTCTCATTTTTTGAAAATTATAAATTTTGGACAAAATATACTTTAAAGGTCTGCTCCTCAATTATTTAAAGTGTAAAGTAGTATGAAGCAATTTTTTTCACTTTTTATTTACAAAGTTTTACGAATTGCTTTTAATAACAGAAACATTCTTTGGAAATATTACACTCTTATATTTCCTGTTTTCGGTTGGATTTTTGCTGGAATAAAATTGTTTATGATGTGATACTACTATGATACAAAACAATTTAACGCCATAACTATATAATAATTAAATTAAAAATGAAATAAACTTATTTGGTTTTGTGGAAAACCCATCAATTATTATTAATTTTTTATCGTTTGGATGATTATCAAATTAAAATTAAATAGAATCATATCACTAAAATTTTGATTTACGTTGGACGTATTAATCATCTTCTTTTAAATTATACAAAATTTAGTCAAATTTCTTAAACAAAATATATTCTTAAAAAATTAAAATATAGCATATTACATACTCGTTCGCTTATAATAAAAACTAAAGAATGACGTATTTGTAAAATATGTCAAATCTATTTATTTATTTTTGAACTGCGAGTGAATAAAATCTCTGAAATAAATTATCACACCATATAATTTATCGCGTTTGATTTAGAATCCTCAAACAAAGTCGATGGTCGTAATTGTAGTGCAATTCTATTGTGTTTATTGATTTTTTATAAGAATTAAACACCGCGAAAATCTCCTTATCCTTATTTCAATAAGATATAAAAAATCGACCATTGTTTCTATGTAAATATAATATAGCGGTGGAATTAGATTTGTCATTTAAATAGCTAAATGTATGTAAATTGTACATATTCCTATTATTAAATAGTAGTTTTCTAGCAGAAAACAATTCAATTCTGAAAGATGAGTTTTTTTCAAAGTGTTGAAGAAAATGTCGTATTGTGATCAGAATTACCGAACGCACATTATTTATTGTACAAAAATAATAGAGACACGCGACCGGGGTGAAAATAATTTGAATCGGGGCGAATATAAGTTTTCGCGCTGAGATTGTGTATACTTTTAACGACAATATCACATAATTATATTCTAAACCTTTTTTATCATACAAGTAGATATACAATAATGACATTGCTATGCAATAATTGATATCGACAATGTCGTTAAGAATTACATAATCCCAATGGTTCTTAGTCGAATTTCTTGCATCGTGCGTATATTCTATCTTTTTTTCTCCAGTAAAGGAAAAAAGTGAACTATGCAAAAGCCTCGAAAGATAAGTTGTGGAAACATTGGGCGTGTTTTTTAATTCATCGATTGATCAATCGCATTATGTGCAAATGCAATTTTTACGGAACAAAATTACATTTGCGCACAATACGATTGATCAATCGATGAATTAAAAAACCCGTCTATTATACATTATTATAAAGTGATGAAAATTCCATAATAATTGTACCAAGATGATTCGGCATGATGCAACAGTTTCGTCAAATTAAGTTTTCAAATAATACAAAATGTTTTGTCAAAAATAAGAAAAATGCCGAGTTTGAATATTTTATTATAGTTATTTAAAAAACGTTTGATTCTTACTTGCTTAAAATTTTACTAAATATGTGCAGATATTTAAAGACGATTTACCATGCCGTTATATTATTTTGTTGAAATGCTGTTTAAACGTTTTAATATAGCTAAAATATATATATGTTTTAATTATTGTACAATATTTTTTAAATTTAATTTTGCAAAGGTATCATTAGGATAGTTTGACATGTCGTTATATTACTCGTATTTTACCGAAATGTTCGGAATAAATAATTATCAATAACATTTTATGAAAGGTCAATATATCTACATTTAATTGTTAGTCATGTAATTGTAGATCATAAATTTAATGCAAGATTTTACCATATTATTTTATAAATATTCTTTCTATCAGAAAAGTTTAGGATGTATCTTGTGAAAATTACAAAAGTAATCAAAGTTACTAAAATATTTATAATTTTTTCATATAACACGTAATATCATAGTAATATCACAACAATATAATTTTTCATTTATAATATTACAATAAAATATAGCAGAAATATTACTAAGATGTTATTTAATATTACAATATCCGCGAAAATAAATCACAGAAATTATTGAGATATATCACTGTAATATTATGTAATATTTTCATATTTATATATTTTATATGTAACATTTATTGAGAAAAATTAAATTATTAAAAAAAATTGTTCAAGAAATGTATTGAATTGATATTTTTAATGTTATTTTAAAAATTATTCGATATATGATATTAATTAGAAAATAATACTAATTGTCAACACGGTAACTATTCCATAATATTGTAATAAATTAAAAAAGTTATAAAATTAATATCACTTATAAAATTATGTGTGCGTACGTATGATTTTGTGATATCTCTTAATGACATCTTAATGATGTCTCTAACGTCAATGAGACATAATAATAACGTTATTAATGCTACACTACTATTTATGACGTTATACCACGATATTTCTTTGATATTACGCGGTATATATATATATATATATATATAAGAGCATCAGCTTTGAATACATTTTCAAATGCAAAATGAATTCTTTTCAAAAAAAGATTCTTTTTTTATATTTGAGAAAATATACTCCAAATGAATAATATATACGAGTGAATTCTTTTGGAATTTCCTTTTAAGTTTCTGTGCTATCTGGAAAGATCCGGGAAGATTATAGAATCAATCTCATTTCTCTCTCTATTATAAAGAAATTTCTTGTATATTATGAAGAAATTTTGCTGTGCCGCGGTACCCTGACGCGCTCTCGCGGCTGCAGGGCGAGGTAGTGAACGGCGCGACATAGGCGCGCATGAGCATGTATAAGTGGCGCACGTCGCACCGGTCGCGCAGTCAGTCTCGTTCGGTTCGTCGAGCGATTCGGTTTTGTATCGTTCATTTTATCGGTTCTCGCGGCGCGTACATCATCTACCCGTGTCTCTCTCTCTCTCTCGCGCCCACGACGTTAGACCACGTCAGACTACAATCTCATCCGTTCCCTCACGACACGGTCGCGCGACGGCGCGGCTATGACAGAGAACGCGACACGTCGGCCGGCGGCGTCTCGTCTGCCGCGGTAATCACGTAAAATCCCTTCGTGTGCGTGTCGTGTAACCGCTGCACGGCGTCGCGCACAAAGCCACACGGGACGTCGATGAAGTTGGTGTCGACGACGGCGCGCTCGGAGTCAAGCGCGCCTCGAATCGTCGAGCCGGAGGAGGCGACGAGAAGTCAGAGGAATTTCGGTTGACAGCTGACTGTCGAGCGGCGTGAAGAGAGGGAGAGGAGAGACAGAGCCTCCTCATCGTCGTCGTCATTGTCATTGTCATTGCCGTGGTGCCGCGTGTGCGTGTGTGCGTGCATGTGTGCGGGTGGCAGACCACCCGGTGCTGAGGAGGACGCGACGGCGACGGGTCGCGGACGTGCGACACGATGACGGCGATCCTGGTGTCCGTGGCGGAGCTGTCCAACATATTCTCGGTGCTCGCCGTGCTGATATGTTTCTGCGGGGTCTTCCTCTTTATCATGAGGTACACAAGCCGCGTTGTACGAGTCGTGTCAGTCTCTCTTTCTTTTCCATTTATCTGCCCGTCCGTCTCTTTTCGCTTTTTGTCGGCTATCCTTTTCTAGGCGCGTACGCGCTACTCGCGACGTATGTATGTACATACAACGCGTATCAGCGTATGTAGATGCAGCCGTATAGAGATAACAGTGATGGATTGCGAAGGTGATTCGCGTCAGGTCGAGGAAACCTGCAGTCCGTCTTAATTTTGAATAACTGAGGAGCAGACTTTCAAATTGCGTTTTGTTTTTCGTTTCTTGCAAATTTATAATTTTCAAAAAACGAAGAAGAAAACTGTAAGGAAATCACACGCCTTATAAAAAAAAAAGTAACAATTTGCCAATCAAAAAGATGTAAAATGTTAAACAAAATTGCTAAACTATTTCTAATAATATTAAATAAATGCGTTTTGTTTGTCTCTAGTTAAAAGATATAATGCACTTTGATTGTCTAGACTCTTTCCAGCACATAAATTGATGGTGAAGAAATGCTTCTAGAAAACATCGTAGTCTTTCACTATGCCATCTCTAACTTAAAAAATGAAATTTTGGACAAAATGCATTTTGGAAGTTTACTCCTCAATTGTCCCTATTAATATTGCCTTTGCATTTAAATAAACCGTAAAGAAAACACCAGCACAAATAAATAAGAAAAGTATTTTTTTTTTAATATAAAAATGTATATTTTGTATATATATTTTTTGAGTTAAAAAATTACAGCTTTGTCTATATACTTTTTAATTTAATAAAAAGTATTTTTTTTATTAAATTAGATTGTTAATGATACGAAAGATAATATTCTATTTTTTAAATATTAAAGTATAGTAAATCTGTTTTTTGAGACACAAGGAATTTATATGTAATACCGTAAGAATTTTAAGCTTGTTTCTAGTATGCCCTCCAAGGGGCGATGACCCTATTAATGTGTCCTCAATTTGTGTGCTTATCCGCATTTAACTCATTTTAACGTGTAGTTACTAAAACAGATAATAGACGCAAGCTAATTGCTTCAGCTAATATTGCATAAATCATTGTTTCAATTATACTTATAATTTCAATGTATACTCATAACACAATCTCAGCTCCAATACGAAGCAAAACATTTTTTTATATTTATCGAATATTATAAAACATTAACATTTTTAGATTAAAAAAATAGTCAAAAAATCGATATTGAATCTAAGTAGCCAAAATTAAAGCTATAAAATTGAATAAATTAATTGAGTAATGAACAAATTGGTTTAAAGAAACTATTATTTTTTTCTATGATGGCATAATGCGTGGTTTGATATCAGTACGAATTAATTCTCCTTATTTAAAACAAAATCAACAAAGGGCAATCAGCCAGTCACGAAGTTAGTATTTTTAAAAAATAAAAAGTATTAAGTTATAATTTATTTAATTATTGACGCCTAAAATTTTTGGAAGATTAACACGAATGTTAATGACTGATTGATGAATGATTAATAATTTGCAGGCTTTGAGTATAATTTTAGCTCTTATATGTATCTACATTGAAAGAAAAGTGTTTGGTATTTGTGACTATAATTGCATGATGAAATAGTTATTTTAGGAGCTTCATTTTTATGATTACTACTATTATACACTGAGAAAAAAATTCAACTTGAGTAAATGTATTTAATAGTGATTATTTAGTTAAAATATTTTTTATATTCAGCTTAACAAAATCTTGTTAGATTTTTGTTTATTGACAATTTATAATTGTCAATTATAAATTTAAAACGTGCTATTTGTTTGAATTAACAAATAAATATTTGTTCGATAGCTCGTGACTGCTACACTTTGTTGAATCAATTAATTTTTTTTTTGTATTAGCAAGTAATCGTCTCTCTCTCTCTTTCTCTCTCTCTCTCTCTCTCTCTCTCTCTCTCACACACACACACACACACACACACACACACACACACACACACACACACACACACACACACACACATACACAGAGGTATTAATATAATAAAATATCAAGACACAAATGGTAAATATAATAAAGCAGTATTAAACTGTGGAGTAAAAAGAATAAGAATTTTAAGGATTAAATTGCTAAGCAGAATTCATAAAAAGAGCACGAGAACAAATGTATTACATACGTATAATAACTTGAAAGGACAGATTAAAAGCACTTTAAATTTTGTTCATGTCGCATTAGAAACTGTATTAAAAACGAGTTAGAGTAGGAGCTATGGTATAAGGAGCATATTGAGGCATGTTGGAGCATGTGACACGAATAAATCTTTCCAAGTGACGTCATACGGGAGCTTGTTGGATGAAATAGATATTTCGAGGCTTGGGGTTGCATCAATCGAGACGTCACACTGGAGAGATTGTGCGACGAGAGAGACGACGGACGCCTTCAGAGGTGAACGATCTCGTGTTTATCATCTTAATAGAGTCCCTAAGTATAAGAATGACCACGAATGATTTTGTCAAAACCCTACAAGGGGAAGGTGGAAATTAAATTTTTTAAAAAGATTTTGAGGGTTGATTCTTTACGCAAATTTAAGACGAAAACTTTATGACCGTAAGTCCGAAATCGGCTTTCTTAAAATAAAATAAATTATTACACAAATGTAAAATTCTGACCTTGAGGTTTATTATTAAATATACATATTATCTTTATATGTATATGTAAGTAGAAAAAAAGGGGATTTCCCTTCATTCATCAATTATAAATTTACATTCTTTCTACAAAAATGAGTTCTCGATATTTTGATATCTTAAATACATTTTTTTATTTATAATTATGTAATTTTTAAACTTTTTTACGGAAAAATATTTAATTCCATTTTATCTTCTCTCAAATATAAATCACTAATACCGTTCTATTCTATGTTTATCTGTAATGAACAAACGGTCTATAAATAAAGACTTTTGTTTTGCTAGAATATTGTTTACATTGTTTCTATATAACAATAGACGTGTTCTTGAAAACCATTTCAACTTAATTTCCACTGTATTATAGTTTAGTTTAAATATAGAAAACAAATCTGTGATCATACGAAATTTTTATTTTAATTGTGTCTAAATCCTAAGTTACTAATCTTATGATTCAGCTTACAATAGAATTGATGTATTAATGTAAGAAATCTTTTTTTAAAATCTTTTACACACATCCAATAATATTAACTCTTTCTCTTTCTCTCCCTCTCTCCATCCTAAATACTATTTCATTCTATAATGTTTTCACTCTGTACTGGCTCACTCTAACTTTAAGAATTAGAATGCGGTACAAGAAGGTAATATATGTATACCTTTCTCTTTCGTAGGAATTTAACAAAATTACTTGTGGCCAGACTCTGTTAAGTATCTTTAATCCTAGTAATTGTTATCATTATAGACTAACTTTAATATCTGTTTAATTTACTCGTTATTTTTTTTCATTTATAGAACCAGAAAGGGATAAAGAATAAGTTAAACTGAGATTAAAGTTGATTTACATAGGCGAAAATATACTGAAATATATTAAACCAGAAATACTTAGTAAAACAATAAGACATAAGCAAATCTGCTAGTTATAATAGAGATCGAAAATTATTGTCTTTCGTTGTTTTATTGTGATTGATCAATTTATTTACTACTTACGTCTTACTGCCTTTTTCTAGGGTATGTTAAGTTAGCACCCCAACTATAGTACTCAGGAGTTCTGATTAGAGTTCCCACTTCCTTTTGACGAGACGAAGAGTTCCCTATAGTTAATAAACAAGAGTTCCGCTCAATAAACATTTTTTTTTACAGTTTTTAAAAATGAGATGCTAACTTTTTTTCGAATTTCGAGGTGGAATAGTTCTGAGCGGCTTAATAGCTTCAATTTGCGATTGCCTAGAGTTCCTGATATGTAAAAAAAATTAAAAATTTTTGAAAAATTAATTTTTAGATACAATAGTTCTGATGATAATTTCTGCTTCTTTTTGACGATACGAAGAGTTCTCTATTATGATTTTTAATGACATATACGCTTAATAATCATTTTTTAATAATTTTTTAAAAATGGGGTGCTAACTTTTTAACGAAATTCAAGATCGCATAGTTCTGATCAGCTTAACAGAACTATTTTGTGAATACCCAGAGTTCTTGATACATAAAAAACATTTCTGAAGAATAATAAAGTTTAAAAAAAATAACAGAAATCTTTGAAAATTTTTCTGAGAGTACCGAGTAGTTCTGAGTTGCGTTTCTTATAGTACTCGACGAGTTCTATCGAAAACTGTAAGGTGGAAAAACGATTGGACCAACGGTTTGCAAGATACAGCGACATTTGTCAGAAGATCAACAATTTTTAGAGTATATCTCGGAAACCATTGGTCCAATCGCTTCGAGCCCTGATACTTTTCGACAGAACTCGCCAAGAACTGTCCAAAATTCCGATCAGAACTACTCGGTACTCCCAAAAAATTTTGACTTTAAATTTTTTTCCAAGTCCCACGTCGGAAAATTTTTTGAGAGTACCGAGTAGTTCTGAGTAGCGTTTCTTATAGTTCTCGACGAGTTCTATCGAAAACTGTAAGGTGAAAAAGCGATTGGACCAATGGTTTCCGAGATATACTCTAAAAATTGTTGATCTTCTGACAAATGTCGCTGTTTCTTGCAAACCGTTGGTCCAATCGCTTTTCCACTTTACAGTTTTCGATAGAACTCGTCGAGTACTATAAGAAACGCAACTCAGAACTACTCGGTACTCTCAGAAAAATTTTCAAAGATTTCTGCTATTTTTTTTAAACTTTATTATTCTTCAAAAATGTTTTTTATGTATCAAGAACTCTGGGTATTCACAAAATAGTTCTGTTAAGCTGATCAGAACTATGCGACCTTGAATTTCGTTAAAAAGTTAGCACCCCATTTTTAAAAAATTATTAAAAAATGATTATTAAGCGCATATGTCATTAAAAATCATAGAGAACTCTTGGTATCGTCAAAAAGAAGCAGAAATTATCATCAGAACTATTGTATC